AGTCTGAACACCGGCAGTTTGGAGGCAGAATTCCTTTTTCTTCTGGGGACTTCAGTCTTTTCTCTGAAGGCCTTCAACTGATTTGATGAGGCCCACCCACATTATGCAGAGCAATCTGCTTTACTCAAACTCTAGTGATTGAAATCTAAAAAATACCTTCACAGCAACTTCTAGACTGGTATGTGACCAAACAACTGGGCACCATGGCCTAAGCAAGTTGACACATAAAATGAACAATCACACCTCTCCTCCTGATCACTATAACCTCCCACCAATGATGGTATCTCACCTTCTAGTTCCTGCTTTCCACTTCCTGGTGACTCATGACCTCCTCCTCTCCCCCACCATGCTTAACCATCTTTCTACTTTATCTCTAGAGCTTCACTGTTCAACACAGGAGTCAGTAGATACATGTCCTCTACAATTGTAATTTTAACAAGTTAAAATAAAATGAAATTTAAAATTCAATTCCAGGGTTGCGGTAGCTACATTAAAGTGCTCAACAGTCACATGTGGCTTGTGGCTACCATACTGGACAGCACAGAGTAGAACATTTCCATCATTGCTGAAGGTTCCAGTGGACAGAGGTGATCTAGATGTTTCTTCACTATAGCTTTGCCTTTGCTATCTAGGCCTCTCTCCTCAGACCTTGACTCTGAATCTCAGAGCTCCAGGTTTGCAGTCTCCTTGACCATCTGGATAGTCATATATATCCTCATTGAGAATGTTGCAAAAAGATAGTTTGATGCATTTGTGTAATTCTTACATGGAATGCTTGTGTATTGCTCAGGATAAGTAATGTTAGCTGCTGAAACAAACAACTCCAAAAGATCAGTGACTCAACACAATAAAGGTTTATTTCTTGCCCAAGTTACAGTCCTGTACTCTTTACAGCCATTCACTCTTCTTCCAGGGCCTCAGTGTTCTCCACTGGGTCCTCTGCATCCAGCTGGCCACCTAATGAAAAGTGGGGAAGACAGTACAGGATGTTCAGGGGCCAGGTCTGGAAGTGGCTGCGTCACTTCTGCTCACATTTCATTGCCCAGCCTGGGTCAAACAGACCCATCTCACTGCTAAAAATGTAATCTTTCCAAGGGCCAAGGAGGAAAATTAACAGAATGGTGAACACAAAATGCTGTATCACAGCATGTAGAAAAAAAGCATTCCTGGGTCAAGGGATACTATTACCCCCAACAATGAACTATGTATATGTAAAAACCCTTCTGGGTCACACAGTATATATGTTTATACATCTCATACAAGGAAAATAAAAAATATCAGTAACTATCAAATGATGAGTTTCAAGGCCATATAGAATGGAGGCTAAGAAAGGATGGACTTGGGAATTGGAAAAAGTCTGTTTGAATTCCAACACTACCACTAACTGGCCAAGAACACACTGGCAGTGTGATCTTAGGCCAGCTGCTTAAACTTGCAGGGCCCTCAGAGGACTCATGGGGTTTAAATGCGGCAGTAAATGCTTACCTTGGTGTAGACGCTCAGTGGCGGGTGGGGCTACATACACACATCCATGTGATGTCACGGCCTTTCCCCCACCTTCTCCTTTTGAGTCAGATCTACCTACAAACTGTGTAGTAATTGCAAAATGAAATACTTCCCGTGTTCATGTCTGTTATAGGTTGAATTGTGTAGTCCCCACAAACTCCCCCAATTCATATGTTGAAGTCCTAACTCCCAGTACCTCAGAATGTGACCTTCGTTGGAAGCAGGGTCATTGCAGATCTAATTAGTTAAGATGAGGTCATACTGGAGGAAGGTGGACCCCTAATCCAATATGACTGGTATCCTTATAAAAGGGGAAATCTGGAGACATACATGCACACAGGAGGAATGCCATGTGAAGATAAAGGCTGGGATTGAGTGAGGCATCTACTAAGCCTAGGAATGCAAAAGATGGCCAGCAAGCCACCAGAAGCTAGAGGAGAGGCATGCAATAGACTCTCCCTCACTGCTCTCAGAAGGAACCAATCCTGCCAACACATTGATCTCAGACTTTTGACCTCCAGAGCTATGAGACAATAAATTTCTGTTGTTTAAGCCACCCGGTTTGTGGTACTCTATCATGGCAGCCCTAGGAAACTAATATAATATCCAAGCAGTTATTGACTCATATACACAGAATTTAATCTTTAAATTGCAGGTGTTCACATTTTTGTAAAATGCTAATTTCAACATATTTCCAAAATCAATTTTCCATCCATTAATTCAACTGTTTTAGAGCTACAAAAACAGCAACTTCATAGGGGTCACCCTAAGATCCATATGAGTACCGGGATGAAACATTGGCTTTTCTTGCTGTTTGCTTAATGGGGCTGTTAGGGACCTATCTTTGGAACTAGGCTCATTAATATTACACAAATGATCGGTTGTATGACCTTAGCCAAGTCCCTTGTCTGCCCTGAACTCTTTTCCTCCTCTAAAAAATACGAGAGTGAGGCTACATTCCTTAACTAACTTCCAGCTAAGACATTCTTTGGCTTAAAAGAAACCTGGTCCATCTAGGAAGACTTGATGGCCTGCGGTCCAGGTGAGCTGAAAGCAGAACTGCTTACAGAAATCAGCTCTGCTAATATAAGGGGATTTAAGAACAATGTTAAAGGAGAGTGCACCAGCAAATTAAATATTCAAAGTGAAGAACTCTGAATTTATTAAAAGTCTGTCACCATTGAGAACACATAATTTTAGCATAAATACTCTAGAAATATTCATTTAATTTGCTAGGTGTTACTGTTAATAAATGGATCCTGCATCTAGATTGTCATATGTCATTAATAAATCAACCAAAGAATGCAAATTATAATTATTTTGAATTATCTATTTACTGCTTAATTATATTTAATTTTAGACTCTTCTAAAATGGCCGAATAAAAATTTTGGATGCTAAATGACTGTCTTATCTGCTTACTCTGTGTATTTGCTGAAAATAATTAGTTATATTAATTGGAGATTTTTTTCCTTAAAAAACTAATATGGGTAGGGATGGTCCTAAATAAAATATCACCATACATGCATTTTTTTGGCCAGGGTTGTAGTAAAATATTGTTTGCACTAAGATCAGTAAGCAAACCTTTGCTCACTACCATGGGATCAACTTGGTATAATGTGACATAACAACTAAATAAAAGTAACATCAGTACTACCCTTAGATTCAGGCAAGAGGCCCTACCTGGGCTTCTATACATTACAGAGCCTGTTCTGGACTTTGTCTGGCCATGCCACTCCATACAAGGCGAGGAGGCCCCAGCGCCAGGGGACATGCCTACCTGGAGGTCTCATACACACACACACACACACACACACACATCCTTCTAGGACACACTCCAGGTGTCCATCACCCGGACATCCCCTGGTCAAAGGGGCCTAAGCTCCTTTCCAAGGCCTTTAAAGACCTCTTTCCTGGGTCCTTCTTGCTAGGATGACCGTCACTGGTGTGCTTACCCTTCAGCCTGAGAAGTGGCCAAGAGGAGGCTGAGGTGGGGATGAGGACAGAGCTAGGACTTGTGGACTGGTATGGGGAGGGGGATACTGGGGTGGGGGCCGGTAAGGCTGGGTAAGGAGTCAGAAAACTAAATTCCCCTGTATGAATTCTCCCCTTTTATGAAGGCACATTGGTCAAGGTAGGAGGGACCATATTTTATCTACAATTTGTCATCTTGATTTTTAATTGTTTAATATTTTGACAGATGGCATGAGGGTCTCCATTCATCCTCTTGCCCTGGACCTAGCAAATGTGAAGAGAAGGCTGAGTAACATCATCATTTTACACTGCAGACCTTTGAATGGCCCATCTCTCTTGCTGATGATCTATTTCCTAGTTTGTCACACCTAGCACACAAGTAAGTGAAATTAATGACAAAGAAAAAACAAAAGAAGTGAAGAATAAGAGACTAAAGAAATTCTATAGTTTCTTTTTTCCTGCCCTGTGGGTTTCAGAATACAGTTATGATTCTTCAGAAAGCTTTTCCCCAAAGTTGGTGATGATGATGATGATAAAAACTGATGCTTCTTCCTATGTGCTGGGACCCCTTCTAAACACTTACACACATTAATGAATCTCATCATTACAGAAACGACATAGGTGGGTCCTGTAGTAACAGCCTCCCAGTTTTACATACGAGGAACCCTGGGGGTAAAGAGGGTGATTTGTACGTGGTCACACAGCTGGGCAGTGGAAGAAGGGATTGGAGCTCAGGCAGCGGGCTCCAGAGTCCCTGATGAAGTATTGTACAGGGCGTTTGTCCACTGAGCTCTGTCTGCACAAATGTCAGCTTTGCAAGCAACTTGCTGGCAACTTCCCCCTCTTCACCAGCCAGCAATGTGATCTGCAGCCTTAGCCACAGCCTCAGGGTCAGCACGGGCTTTCAGCTAACGGGGTCTACTGTCAGGGTTGAGCATAGCTGCTTAGGACTGAGGATTTTGTCTTTTTCGTGTTTTGTTTTGCTTTTAAGCGCTGGTAGGAAAACAAACAGCACTGTGCCCAGCACTCAGCAAATACTGGTAAGAAGGGAAGGAAGGAGAGAATTCACCTGGTAAAGTTAAAGCAGTTTGATGCCAAAGACAAAAATGATCAGGTGATTACTCCCGCCCAGCCTCCATCCTCTACCTAGGGGATGGGGATCACGGGGTCGGCTTCAGACCTGGCCTTCAGAGAAGGAACCCGCCCGAAGGAGGGCCAGGGTCTCTCCCACGAGAACTCCGAACGGTTGGGGTAGAAGAAGACACCAGCCTCGAAGCAAAGAGGCCTGGGCACTGAGTCGCAACGCCGCCTCTTCTTCGCCGGCGGGCACCCCGCCCTCTCCCACGGCGCCCCGCCCCTCCTAGCCGTCTGCCCCGCCTCCTCCCCGCTCCTCCATGGCGCCACGACCCCAGGAAGTTGCCCCACCCCTCACGGCGCCGTGCCCCCGCCCCTCCACGGCGCCCCGCCCCACCCGTGCGGCGTCGGGGCGCAGCGTCTACCCGCGGTGCATGGTGGGGCCGTTGCTTCGGACAACTCGGGCCTCGCCCGCCCGGAGGCTGTGAGGAGTGGTTGCGGCGGCGGAATGCACCGGGCCTCCGCGCCGTCCGCGCCCCTGGCGAGCCCCGACTACTACGAAAGGCTGGGCCGCCTCCAGCACGGGCTGCGGGACAGGTACGGCCTACCCGGGGCGGGGGCGGGGAGTCGGCCGGCCCAAGGGTCCGCCGGAGCCCTGCCCCCTGTTCCTTTCTGCTGCCCCCACCCGCGGTTCCCCTGGGCCCGGGTCCAGTCCTGCGACGCCCCCCGCCCCCCCCCGCCTCGAGCTCCCGGAGGGGCCTGGAGGACGGAGTTTACCAGAGACACCTCCTTATGGGCAGTATCCCGCGGGAGCGTGCGGCCGTGTCACTGAATGTGCCCAGAAGTGAGAGCGGGAGTCTCCTGCCTGTCACTCTCAATCCAGCCCGTGAATTTCTCTGGTCCCCTTCCACACGCCCCCTCCCCGGCTCTTCACATTCTCATGCCACCCTGACAGCTGCGCTGCATCAGTGATGACAGGTCCAGGAACGCAGGCGGGAGAGTGTGTGTGTTTGTCAAACGTGTGCCCTGTTTCAATGAAGGAGGCTTTTTTGTGGGGCCAGATCTCCAGCGAAGGGATGACATTTCCAGCGGGAGAAGCCCAGCTTTCAGAGGGTTCATGATACCTTGATTAAGACATGAAAGATGAGAACCACTGAAGAACAGCTTGATCACATAAAGAGAGAAAATTATAAAGCAATTTACTATAAATAACTACATAAAAGGCTGTTGAAATTATTATTCAGTTGCTAAATTAATTGGAGTTGGAAATCTCATTAGTTGACAAGAAAGGAAATAGATTTTTGGATCTCTTGATAAACAAAACGTTTAATGAGTGTTAAAAGTTACAAAATCATTTTAGTGAAGAGAGCTGTGTGTGTGATGATTCTAAAATGACTATAATTACATGGAAGGTAAAGGCAGAAGTTACTGGTTTTGAAAAGGAATTATGTTCAACCTATGCTAGAGTTAATTCTTGTTTAATATTTATAGAGCATCTACAAGAGGCCTCCTTAATCATTCTCACTGTATTTACCCCTGAATCCTTTTCTACATCCTGTTTTCTTTCTGACATACCACTACTCACCCACCCACTCACCTCACCTCCAACTTAAAAAAAAAATCACTTCCTGCAGTGCCTTCATTAAGAGACAAGATAGTGCTCTGTGCTTTGGTACACTTACAGTGCTCTGTGTTCTGTTAAAAAAGTGGCTTAGTTACCCCAGGCCTTTAGTTATTTGCATTTCTTAACCCAAGTTCTAATTTTAAAATGTTACTGGTTCAAATGGCATTTTTTAAAAAAAACTAATTGTGAGTTATCATTTTTGCTTCCTGTGCTAGGAACATCTGGCTGTTTATAGTCCTTATGGTATAATTTCTGTGTAATGATTATTACTCACTTTATGTCTAACACGTAATGCTTTCACTGTTAAGCGAGGTGAGGCTGTTGAAATTATATAAGGAATTTGAGTCAAATTTTACAGCCTATTCATGGTTCTGCCTTTGGAGGTTTGTTTCATTTTTAAGTCAGTACAAATTTGTTACTGTGTGTATTCATTTTTCATTTTAAAAGTCCATAACTAGGGCTTCCCTGGTGACGCAGTGGTTGAGAGTCCACCTGCCGATCCAGGGGACTAGGGTTCGTGCCGTGGTCTGGGAAGATCCTACGTGCCGCAGAGTGGCTGGGCCCGCGAGCCATGGCCACTGAGCCTGCGCATCCGGAGCCTGTGCTCCGCGACGGGAGAGGCCACAACAGTGAGGGGCCCGCGTACTGCAAAAAAAAAAAAAAAAGTCCATAACTAACTCTAATGCATAGTTAATAAGTACAGAGGCAAATCACTTCGGATACAAAGAAAACTGCAGGACAGCTGTGGAAACCTAGGTTCTAGTCCACCAACAGTTGTGTGACCTTGAGCTGGTCATTCAGCTCCCCTGACCTGCCTTTGTCACCAGAAATGAGGGGCCTTGAATACTATGTAAAGTAAGGCCACAGCTTTTTTTTTCTCTAGTAGAGCAATGAGCCTTAAAGTAAAAAAAAGTCTAAAGCTGTTAGTTTTGCAAAGCAGCAAGCAATGAATATTATCGTCTGTATCCCATCTGAGTATTTGTATGTACCTGTTTGTTTGTTTGACCAATCCCCGTGACCATAAGGACCTTTATCTCCTTAAAACTCTAGAGTCATTTCAAAGGCTGCAACCCCGGGTAGTCACAGCTGATTTGTCAGTCTGAAAATGTCCTGGGAATGGTAGAGAAAAACAACTTGCCCTTTCTTAGTCCTCTTAGGGGTGGGTTATTGCAGTGTTAGCTGGTCTAATAACTGGGCCCTCCCCTTGTAAGTGGTGTATTTCTAACCCAAATTGTCTTAGCCGTACTCACACATAGATGTAATTTTATATTCTGAATTTTTTCCTTTTTGTATACAGTGTTTTCTCTGCATCATGGCAAAAGCCAGTCACTGAATCTAAAACAGCCTGATGGAGTGACTTGTTACAGTATGTTCAGTGCCACAAGCATGGTAGCAACATGAAAGTGGAATCAACTCTTACAATTATATAAAAACATCCCTTGAAAAGGCCCATTAACCAGCCCCAGGTTTTTCAATGCCAATATTGATTCAGAGTGAGATATCATAATAGTCCAGAAATTGATGCTGAGATATTAGTTGAGTAAAGCTGAAGATGGTATTGAGACAAAAATAGAATAATAAGCAGCTTACAAGGAGAAAACTAAACCCTGTGGCTATACTTTAAGGAGCACCCAGCTGTGTAAAACTTTGAAAGGTCCAGGTCAGAGATGCAGGTGATTGAAACCGGGGCCTATGGATACACATCTCAGGGCTGGGTGTTTAAAGATTCTGAAATAGAGATTTAAGATGCAGCAGTTCGGGCTTCCCTGGTGGCGCAGTGGTTGAGAGTCCACCTGCCGATGCAGGGGACACGGGTTTGTGCCCCGGTCCAGGAAGATCCCACATGCCGCGGAGTGGCTGGGCCCGTGAGCCATGGCCGCTGAGCCTGCACGTCCAGAACCTGTGTGGAGAGGCCACAACAGTGAGAGGCCCACGTACCAAAAAAAAAAAAAAAAAAAGATGCAGCAGTTCTAAGATGATCTTCCCAATAAGCCTTTCTCTGGCTTTTTATTGGGGTAAATATCTTATTTTAAGTCTTGAATTTAAAATAGATATGAAAGTCAGTGTCGGGGGCACTGCAGCTTGGATGTGTTTAGAAAATGGGCCTGTGAAGAAGAGTTAATGAGATCAGCATCATTTTGCCTGGAATTAGAAGGCCAAGAGGTGTTTGTGATTTTTCAGTGTTTGAAGGGTCGCAGTAGAGAAGTAAGACCAGTGGATGTCTGTATGTACTGAAGACAGAGCAGGAACACGGAAGTTTTACATTCATTATTGAAAAGAACTTTCTGCTTGGGAGGTGATGGATTCCCATAAAGCTGGTGGTCCTTTTTTGTTCGAGGTCACGGGCAAATTTTTAAAATTATTTTGAAAAAAGTTCAAGCTTACAGAAAAGTTGCAAGAATAGGACAAAGACCTCTAATATTCCCCTCACCAGATTCCTCAACTCCTTAACATTTTATTTCTTTTTACCTTTCTGTTTGTCTCTCTGCCTGTCTATGTGAAAGCATGAGACTTCTTTGAACCATTTGAGAATTGCAGATATGATGTCCCTTACATGATCACTGTATAACCCTTCTAATCAGGAAGCTAACTTTGATATACCAATCCACAGGCCCCAGTCACAGTTCACTAACTGTCCTAACACTTTTTTCTTTTCTGGTCCAGGACCCACCTGTGAACCAGTGTTGCCATGTCTCTCCATTCTATCCCAGTCTGGAACCATTCCTCCATCCTACCCTGTCTTTCGTGTTCCTGACAGTTTCATAGAATAAAGCTCTCATCCCAGAGGGTGATCCTCAAGCTGGGTCCGTCTGATGGTTCCTCATGACCAGACGGTGATCATGTTTTCTTGGCAGGAATACCACAGAAGTGAATCATGACATCAGGGGCAAGGTCACAACTGCATTTTTGGGTCTTTCTGACCCCATAATTTAATGGCAAATTGCTTACACTGTCCAGTCAATCACTCTTCATTATCATATTGATCATGAAACCTTAGAAGGGGAATAAATATTTCTAACAGGGAAGCAGTTATACCACGTTTCCTTCACTTCTCTTCCAAGTCCAGTCTTCTTAATGAGAAAGTAAAGATCTGTGTGAAGCTACTAATTTAAAAATTTGTGATTCTGTAATCTTTTTCTTGTTTAAACATAGGCACACCCCAACCAAGGAATGGATTGTGTTCCCCAAGCAAAGACTAGGTGTTTGGATTTTGGACACCATTGTCCCTTTAAAAGAATTTTGGTTAAATAGTGGTTTCCATTCTAGATTACAATAAGCAGAAAAATTTACTAAACCTGTAATATAGCTAACAGTGTAACTTTGGGGTTTTTTTTATAGGAGAAAATCGACTGAAGAAGCTAATAATTAAGGGCTCCCAAGTGGACGTGGCCTCGACCCTTTCCCTCAGGAGGCCAGCCTGAGCGCCCATCCTCCTCTGGACTCCTTTGATTCACAGTCTTTTGTTTTGTTTTGTTTTGTGTTTTAGCATTTTTCTCTTAGACATTATGTGATTTCTCATTCAGCCTTGGTTAATTAATGTCAACTTAGATTACCAGTTTGACTTCAGTTGAAGCTTGTACTTTGGTGGTCTTTGAGCAGAGCCATCTGTGGTTAAACCTCCAAGGGCTCTTTTTGAGACTGGGATGGCTTGCTGTTCAGCGGTTTTACCCTCTAGCCCCTTGGTTTTGGCTGCTGCCACCTTTTCTGCTGTCCAGGTTCGCCTGCTTCTTGCCCAGGCTGGGTGTGCAGGTGGGCATGTCAGCTCTGTCCTCTAGCTTCCTGCCAGCACTTACCTGAACATCACAAGCTGTCTCTACTGGTGGTACCTCTGGGGACTAGCAGTCAGTGACGAATCATGGCGATGTTATCAAGTTATAAAAGAAAATGCCTTCAGTTCCAAGTAGTGGTGTCAGGGGACCTGGTCTCCCCCAAATGTGAGTAAGGCCAAGTCTGCTTCTCAGAGATCTCTTCCTAACTCAGCCACGTGGCCCTGCCCAGGCCTGTCTGGTTGAGAGCAGAGCGAGCCCCCAGCCTTCAGTCCAGGATGGATTTATGGAAGCCTTGTGTGTGGAACCCCCATTGTTCTCAGAGATGCTGGCCATGTTGTATTTTGCATATTTATCTTGTTTATTGTCTGCCCTTCCCCCTTGAATGTCACTGCCTGAGGGCAGGGACCTTGGTTGGCTCATTTACCAGGTCAGTCTTCACCTAGAGCAGAGCCTGGCTCACCACTGCACTCAATAAATAACTCTCGCTGAATGAATGAACCTGCTTCCCAGCCTTTTCTCACTACGTTTCCCCATTTACTTTGAGAATCTTGTTCTTTTTGCTTCATATTGGTGTCCTTTTTGCCTTTTAGACTTCCCTAGTGACTGCTAAGTACTTTTGTGTCTTGAGTTTCAAATGCAGCTGGCGTTTTCTGCTTCTTAGAGAGACCAGAGAAGCATTCTCACAGATCGTGTTCTAAATCTGCCTGCCTGTTACCGATCAGTGTAATTTATTCATAAAATACATTCTTTCTGTATTATAGTGAAAAGAAGAGATTGGACCTGGAAGGGAAACTCTATGAATATAATCAATCTGATACATGCAGGTAAGATATGACAAAGTTTTAAAACCAATTTGCCTAAATTAATCAAAATTTAACCCTAATATCAATATATGTTACAAATACCATAGTTGTAGTCCTGTTGCCGTTCCTTATTTCTAACGTGTAATCGTTTCAAGTAAACACTGCAATTTAATACAATCACTATTAAGTGTAAGAATAAATTTGATGGAAGTATAAGATAAAAATTATTGTATTTTCATTATTTGATATTGGTGTTATTTCAGGAATCTTTTGCTTAAAAAGCTTAAGAATAAGACACATTATAGTCTTACTTATCTTTTTGGTCACAATTTAAACACATTGAATCTGTGAATGATTGAGTCATAATTATTACAGCTGACCTTTCAACAAACTGTTGTAGGCAGGGTTACATGGTGTCTCATTTGTTCATGGGTGTATGACAATGACTGTTAAAATTATTCTGAGCAGTGGATGATATACATATTATCCTTTTTAGGTTACTTACTCTAACATTAAGAGCAAACTCTTAATATTTTAATTATATTTTAAGGAAACTGAACTTTATCCTTAAGCCAAATATATGGTGTAACCTCCAATATTATTCATAGGAAAGTTCTCTGGCTGTGATAGAGTTAAGTTTGTGACGTATCCACTTCACAGTACGAGTGAGAAATGAAGACATCTCATCCAGAAGAGAGAGAAACCAAGAATACTTTAAAACCAAAGCACCCATCAGGTGCATTTTTCCTCATCTCCAAAATTATTCTTGCACTTTGGTTAGTGTCCATACTTCCAAAGCTACCAGAGTAGACAGCCATGTGTTTCTAGCGGCTCCAAAAGAGACAGGGAGAGTCAGCAAGACAGTGGAAGGAATAGCAGTGTTGTGGGTGCTGTGGCCTGAGAAGTAGGCCCTAAGTCTGAGAGGATCGTGGCAGTTGCCATTTTTCTAGCCCCTGACTACAGGGACAGAAGACAGGGCATAGACTCTTCCTACGGCCTGTTCCCAGGTGGCTTCCCGGCATAATGGTGGTAGGCTGGGTGAGATGAGAGACCAGTGGGAATCTTCACCAAGCTTCGGCTGGCTGAATTTGTTCCCCTCTCTCAGCCTCTTGTTTCCTGGAAGACAGAGGGTATGGTTTGCTAAAAATATGCTTTCTTTGCCCATAGGATAAAATCCAAACCATCTAACATGGCTGCCTCAACCTGATTCCCCCAGAAGGCAGAGTCTGAGACAAGTGTTAGTGTGTAGGTGGTCGTTTATTTTAGGAAATGGTCACATAAAGGGCTGGGAAGAATGGAGTAGGAGCTGGTAACTGCTGTGGGCACCTGCAGCTCCATCTCTCTGCTCCTCCCAAGGAAGAGGGGGGCTCTTTACCTTTCGGTTCCTGACCCCCGTTGGTCAGGGCCATCTCAGGAGGTGTTAACTCCTCCGCACCTCCAGGCTTTCCCTGCTGCAAATTCAGAAAAGCAGCCCCGGGAAAGCAAGATACCATGGGCGGCGGATGCAGGTGCTGCCAGGTTGCTGCAGCCGTGGCTGCAGGAAGAAAAGCTAGGCCAGGAGGAGGTGAGGTGGTGCGGTGGTATACCAGAGCTTCTATTGTCTGCCCCTGTTTAGTTTTCATCATTACTATCTCTTGCCAGCCTCTCCCTAAAATTCTTCATGGACTGAATCCTCGGTTTCTGGAACGTGACAAGGTCTTGTATAGTGAAGCAGGTAGACTTTCTTGCCAGGTGCCTCTGTTTAGTCTCAGCCTTGCCAGCACTTAGCCAGGCAACCATGGGACAGTAACTTCAGTATTCTGTGCCTCTGTTTCTTCATCTGTCAAATGGGGATGGAGATAGTTATGAGAACTTAATAGAGCCTTAAAGCAGGGTCTGACCCAGAGTAAGCGTCAATAATTTATCGTTTATGACCATTTTTTGTCAGTTTCACTGTTACTCTTATTTATTGCCTCTGAGCTTTCCAACATGCTGTTTCCTCTGCCGGAATGTTTTCCCCTTATCTCACTCTTGCTTTCCCCAGTTTTGGGTTAACCGTTAATTCATCCTTCATGTCTCAGCTGAAAATTAATTTCCACTGGGAAGGCCTCCTGGGCCCCTTTAGCTAGGTCACATTGCCCAGTCTTTAAGAGTCCCTTGCAGTTGTGCTCATAGCAGCCATCACACTATATTGTGTGTATCTAAGTTTTGTTTCCCTGTTGTCCCAAGCTGCATGGCTTTTGTATGCAGAGTGCTGACTGTATGAATGACTGCATGGAGGGCTGGATGACTTGATGTGGTCAGCTTCGAGGGTTAACGTGAGGGCGGGAGTGAAGCTAGACTTTGGGTGGAGAAGGCGTGGTTCCTATTGAACCTACTCCAGGTGGACTCTGGTCGCAGCCAGCAGCCTCCCCAAGTGCCTATGTGGGAAATTATGTCGGGTTCCACCTCTGTTACCGTCACTTGTGTTAAAAACGGCAGGCATGGACAGCAGTACACCCAGTCCTGAGTTTTTTGTTCGGAAGGAAAAATGGGGACAGCCAACCAAGATCAAAGCACAGAATTATTAGCACGATAAAGAGTTTCTTGAAAATTATTGGCTTAGAGGTGGGAGTTTAAGGTCTGTTGTTGTTTAATTTTTAACATCTCCAGCGTCTCTGCAAATCTGTTTTTGAGGGTGAACATTTTTATAGTTGGCAACTTATTTTCGCTTGATGAGAGAATGTTGAATAAGTAATTGAGCCAGCAGTGGAAAGGCTACATACCAGGTGCTCTTATGACTTAAATACTTGTGAAGAAGAAAGAGCTGAGAGGAGCAGTGTTGGTAATGAGGGGAGAGGGGCTGCACAGTTCTAGCCGCCCGCTGTGTCTTTTGATACTGCATTTTGGATGAGAGTCTCCAAAGGTTTCTTCACAATTTGAGTAGCGTGACAATCCATATATTGTTATAAAATACTTTCATAATACAGTATGTTATTGCAGTTTCTAAAAAAATTTTTAAGTACCTAAATGAGAACTTTTGGGGCATTTTAAATTTCAAAATTTCTTAATGTTTGTGGATTGTGGTGCATAGTTTGATTCTATTTCTGTATGAGCAGGTAGTTTTGAAATTGTCACATAAAAGAATGCCATTGGGCTGTTCATCTGAAAAGGGCCACCTAGGCACGGCTCTTGACACCACACTTAATTTTGAGAAAGAAATCCATATAAATCTGTATGTGTGAGCGGTGTAATGTGGTCTGGTATCCATTTCTCAGGAGAGTTATGCCTAGAGGTGATACCTCAGTGATGCTGCATTAATTTCCTCTCTAAAAATGCACATGCATCCTATCCTTTAGGCTGCAGTGTTTGGGTAAAATATCTTAGAATACATTGTCTCATTAACAATTTTGTTAAATTCTCCTCCTTAGAGTTGTTCAAGTCTAACTCCATCGTTTAAAAATCTGCTTTTATTCTTCTAGAGTTAAGCTGAAGTATTTAAAACTAAAGAAATACCTGAAGGAAATATGTGAATCAGAAAAGAAGGCTCGTACTCGAAACCAAGAATATTTAAAGCGGTTTGAGCGGGTCCAGGCTCACGTTGGACACTTTACCACAAATTCAGAGAAACTGCAAGAACTGAAGGTGACATCTCATTTTGTACTGTTTTCTTTTGTCCTTTTTAGCTAAGATTGGGACTAGTGAGTCGTAAGTTTCTGGTCTGTGGCAGTCACTGATGTTCAGTTGTTCACCCGTAGGTTAACTGTCAGTTTTCTCTGGGAATTAATTACCATGTGACCAGATTTTGATCAGAAAACTGGAGATTGCATTTTCTCAGATTTCTGCTTTAGTTGAGGAATTACTGGAACATCTATACTTTGTTACTCTACACAGGTAGTTAAACGGGCACGGCCTCTGGCCACACCTGACCTGGCGCCTGGCACATGGGATCTCTTGGCCTCAGGACTGAATTTGAGCAACATCAGGTTCCCTGTGGAGCCTGCTTCCTTCTTCAGAGGTTCTTTTTCTGTGGCCTGAGCCCCACTGTTCTGGGCAGGCCGGGTGTCAGGGGGAGACTGGGGGGAAGAACTGGCCCAAGGACTTCACCCTCACGCCCATCGACTCTGCGAGCCAGAACAGCCACGCCTTCCCTGCCCTCTCCGACCCTGGCCCCCACTCCCTTAGGCTGCCTGGCAACCTTCTGCTTTACAAACTGTGTCAAGCATGGAGGGCTAGGCCTTGTTTCTCACCATTTGTGCTGCTCAGGGCTTTTGCCCAACTTAACCCACCTGCATACTGGTTACCAGAGAAGTTGGCTTCAGCACTTCCCTTTCTTTTTTTTCCTCTCACAGTTTTCCCCTAGTACACAGGAAAAGAATTATTTAAGTACACAGGAAAAGAATTATTATAATGAACATTCATGCTGTGGTCTGAATGTTTGTGTCTCCCTGCCCAAATTCATATGTTGAAATCCTAACCTCCAAAAGTGATGTTATTAGTGGATGGGGCCTTTGAGAGGTGCTTAAATCACGAGGGTGGGGCTCTCATGAGCAGGATTAGTGCCTTGTAACAGAGGCTCCAGGGCACTCCTGGCCCCTTCCACCAGGTGAGGACACAGTGAGAAGGTGGTAGCTCTGAACCAGGAGGGGTCTGTCACCAGAAGGCAGCCGTGCTGACATCTTGTGGAGGACTTCCAGCCTCCACAACTGTGAGCAATACGTATCAGTTGTTTATAAGGCAACCAGCCAGTGCAGTTTTATTACAGCAGCCTAAATGGACTAAGACAGCTCATGATCTAACCAGATGCAACAGTTGTAAATATTTTGCTGTATTTGCTTTGCCTGTGTCTGTGTATGTATGTTTTTTCCTGAGCCATTGAAAGTATGCAGCAGAACCCATGACATTTCTCCCCTAAATACTTGAGTGTGGATCCCTTAAGAACAAGAACAGTCTCCTCCATAATCATACCATTATCACACCTAAGAAAATTACTAATGATTCCATAATATTATTTAATATTCAGCCAATACTTCAGTTTCCACAGTTCCCTTCAAAAGTCTGTTTTTCCAGACCAGGAGCCAACTAGGGTACACATTACATTTGTTATTGTGTCTTTTTTAGTCTTTTAATCTAATTTGGTTTCCTACCAGTCTTCTTTGTTTTGTTTTTTTTTTAAATGATACTGGCTTTTTGAAGAAGCCAGGCCAGTTGCTTGTAGAATGACTTACATTCTGAATTTGACTGGTTATTTTAACTTGTGTAGCATCTGCTGTGTTTCCTGTAAACTGGAAATTTGGTCTAGACTAGCACTGCCCAGTAGAACTTTGTGGTGATGGGAACCTTCTGTCTCGGTACTGATGCTGTCTAATACAGTAGCCACTAGCCGTACATGGCTACTGAGCACTTAACATGTAGCTTGTGACACTGAGGACTGAGTTTTTGTGTTAAATTTAGTTAATTAAATTTAAATAGTCACAGCTGAGGTTATAAAGTCTACTGCATCCCGTCAGGAGGCTCATGAGCCATGATGTCTGGTGGTCTTGTTTGAGCCAGGCTGAGTTTGATGGCTTTGTTAACATGGTGACCTCTAGGTCTCTCTATTGTAAGGTACCTTTTTTCCCTTTGTAAATTAGTAAATAATCTGTGGAGTGGTGGCTTGACATCTTGGGAATACCTTGTTCCTCAACAGCCTTTTGCCTAGCGGTTTTAGAATCCATTAATGATGCCTGAATCAGTTATAGTGGAGGTTGTGAAATGGTGATTTCCTAATTTGATCTCATCTTTTACATTTGTTAGCTGGCATTCTTCTATGAAGAAGAGCTTTCTTTCCTTCTTTTTCTCCCTCTCTCTGTCTAAATGTCACTCTGGGCTTGTGAATCTTTATTTAGTCATTATATTATCAATTACTGTAATTATTCTTTTGTTGCTTACATTCTCCCAAATTTTGCCAGTGAGAGTCTCTTCGAGTTGGCTCCTGTGTCCTTTCGACAAGATGTTCCAGGTTTACCTTATACTTCCCTGCCTCAGACTTGGAATTAGCCTCTTATCTGAGGAGCTGTGGTTCCTTTGGGTGGGTAGGGGTATTTAGAAACCAAGATCTGGAGGCTAGATGTGCTCAAGCAATAGTGAGTCTTAGCTACAGCACTCCAGGTTTTTCCTCCTAGTGTTCAAGTAGAATGCTTAAGGCTCAAAAAGCAATTGTTATCAACATTGTAAACCTCTTTTCTTTTCAGAGAGTTCAAAGAGAAAATAAAAGTGGTGGACAAAGCAGGGAATTTCTTCTTCCCAGTGGAATAAAGGAAATAATAGAAGTTTTCCTCTTATTTTCATATTGATGCTTTACTTAATTATTGATTTCTCATTATAACCAAATGTGAGAGGGAGGAATTTGAAAGGAAGTATCATCCTTTGTAAATATTTTAATATTGAGAGCATTTGTTGTGTATAGTATGATGTGTTAAAAAAAAAAACTTGTCTCACGAGCTACTAAAGAATATCAGCATAGGGGACCATTTTCAAGAAAAGAATGATAAACTGTATTTCTAGGACTCTGTAAAGCTTTATTCATAAATATCATTTAAAAATGACACAGATATTCCTTTTTGAATTTTGGAGAAGGAATGCCTTTTTAAAAATCTGCTGATGGCATAAAAGGGCAGGTCATGTAGCTGCAGTTGGGAAACATACGTGTTCTGTGGAAAACTGTACATTGGCTGTGAACCAGCCAGTGATGCCCGTGACACCACCAGCTCAGCAAGCTGTGCAGTGAGTGGAGTGTCCAAGCAGTGGGGGTCGTCGTGTTTCTTCCTGCCTCTTCCTTTGTGCCACGGCCAGTTGTGGCCTTAGGAATACCAGAGCCACTTGTCTCCCTTAATCCCGCCCCACTCCCGTGTCACATCTTCACCTCACGGAAGTCTTAGGAGAGAGGTATTCTGGTCAGCACCTACGTGCTGTATTTGCCACACACCCCAGAATGCCCGGGGCGTTTTCCCTTGACTAGAGTATAGTTGGTGCGAATGAACTTCTAACTGGTGGAAGTCCAGAAAGTGAAACAAGGTGAAGCATTGTGAGAGAAGTGGGGATTTTGCCCAAATTATATTAAGTGAATTTCTCCGTCTTTGTAAGATGAGGCCCACTTAATTGTAGAATGTTAAAATCTTTTAAAATGGGCTGAAAAACTTTTTGAAAAGCCATTTCAACTGATTTTATGAATTATACTACTTTATTTGGGGTCCTATAATAATTTTCAGGGCTTTATAAGGATAGTGATATATCATGTAGTTTTGTAAATACAGTTTTGTGGCCATATTGCTACTTGTCAGATGGATAAAGAGGGTGAATAAATTCAGTTCACAAATATAAATAGGAGAATCACCGGTGCTGTGAAGAGGGTGCCCCTCTCTCCCTCTTCTTGCCCCCTCACCGCCTCTCCCCACCCCGCCCACTTCACCTCTGTTTCCCCTCCCTCCTCGCACTCCCCACCTTGGCAGCTTTAGTGGAAGGGCCCAGCTCGTCCTTAGAGCAGTTTTCCTCAGGTGCCCTTTGCTCTTGTCTCAGGTTGGCTTTTCTCTGAAGCTGACCCTGAGACAAGGGTTTGGATGTAAGTGGCTTATTTGGGAAGTGCAAGGATGCCGGGAGGCAAGTGGGGAGCTGAGACAGGGAAGGACAAGTGGCCGGAATGGGGGTATTAAGTCAACTACCACAGTGGGCACCTGGAGCTTAATTCCGCAGGGGAACTCCACCAAATGGTTCAGAGCATTTGGGAGATGCATAGCCGGGCTCCTGAGCATCACTGATGAGGACTGCTGGGGGAAGGGCACAGGTGTGGGGAGCTCATTAACCGTGTGCTCCTGTAGGCAGAGCAGCCTCCCCAGGCTCTGAGGGGCCTTAAGCACAGAGACGGGTACTGGAACTTAGGAGCACTGAGAAAGGTCCCATGGCCACGTGTGGAGCATTGCCAGCATCTGCTTTGGCCTCCTGCATTCAAGTGCTGGGCTTGGGGCTGGCATGTCAGGGCTCAGGGAGGGTCCCTGGCCGGGAGCGGGTCATCATCTGGTCATGTCTCCCCTCTGCCTGAAATCCTTGAGTGCGCAGCCTTCTCGGGACAAAGCCCAGGCGCTGATCTCTGCCTGCCAACTACCCACAGCTTCAGCCTTCTGACCACACACAAGTTCTGTTCTCTCTGTCCCTCTCACACAGCTATACGGATGTGCACATTTTCTCTCCCCACCCTGTCCTCTTCCACCCTCTCCCTCCATCCCCACCCCTCGCTCCTGTCTCCCCTGCTCCCCTATCCCAGTCTTCCTCCTGCCATCTCCCCTCCCCTTCTCCACACCTCCATCTCTTCCCCTCTCTCTCCCACTGCATGTCTTCGCACCATGCCTCCACACCTTTATCTCCCACACATGCGCGTCTGCACTCTGCTGCACACGTGCTGAATGGTTTGTAATTCCTTGAATGCGCCACATTCTGTCCTATGTCCTTCGACTCGGAGGACATAGAGGAGACCTCGCTCCCTCTATGCTGCCGTAGGTCTATGTCATATGATCTACATAAGCACCTCCTTCACGGTACTGTCATTGTTGCGTGTCTGTTTCCCCACCTCACCGTGAGCTCCTTTTCTTACTATTTCCGTGCTCTCAGTGGCACATAGTAAGTGCTCAGTAAGCACTGACTGAAAAGTAATTCTTCCATATTCTTGTTTTCTCTTATGGACCGTAAACAACTATGTGAGGATGAACGTGTGTGATTGGACCCATGGCAAACCACCCAGGAGCATTTGTGTTTGATAGCAGAGGCATTTTGAAGACATAATGTCATTATTTAAAGATGTGATCTTGTTGAAAATTCAGTCATCAGGTTACATGTGCCTATAGGGCATAAAATTTGAAGAGAACAAATCTTTTGAGCTCTCATACAATTCCTGCTAAGCACTGTGACAGCCACTGTGGGCAGAGCATGACCTTCTGGCTCCTGAAGACAAAGTCTGTAGCAAACCCCATTTTTTTGCCTGTTAATATGTCCTAGTTGAATAAATAAATATTCCTCCATATCTTTTGGTAAAAGTTCCACATTTAAGAGGAAGCCCATATACTGGAAAAAAAATAGGAGAGGGAAAAACAAAAAGACTATGAATCTCTCATATTCATCTGAGAGTCACATTAGTTTATTTAACTCTCTGTAGCCATCCTTCAACTGTAATGTGCAGAGGCCAGGCCAGCTGATCTTCAATGTCAATTCAGCTCTGTAACAGAATTACTGTACAATTTCAAAGACCAGTGAAAAAAGGAAGCTTATGAAAAAGGTAATAGTGGCACTTTCAGGCAAGTGGTGATGTGACGAGGGAAAACTGAAGGAATGTAAGTGAGAATACAGGAGAAAAGAAGGAAACAATGAAAACTGGGGCACATTGTGAGTATGGAGAGATCCCAGACATGCCAGGACCTCCAACTCCTCTTCCCACGACCCCAGATTACCGTCAGCAGATTTCATTAGTTGAGCTGAAATGAATCACCTGTGCAGAGTAAGGAAGTGAGTAGGAAAGGCCTCCTAAATTTAGGTGGGCAGCAGCAAATCCAGTGCTGTGAAGCAGTACAGGACAAAGCAAGTTCCTGATTGGGAGATGAGAGGATTGTCCTTAGAGAGGCTCTAGGCCAGCAGATGCTACTGAGGCGTGAGTCGTTTGGCCTCTGAAGCAGCAGCTCTGACTGTGAGGAATCTAGGCCATGTGGGAAGAAGGGAACAGGGACCTGAGTCTGCACCCAAGAGAAAGGATGCAGTGCAAGCCCTCCTGTATCGTGGAGATAGAAGAGGCCCATGGGACCTGATTCAGAGAAGAAATAGGGAATAAGACGTGAAAGACTGATGGTCAGAGAAATAGATGTACATGAGGACACATGTTCTACTGCTTCATCAGGCATTTTTAGCTGGAAAGTCTTGGAGAGATTCATCTGTGCAATGTTTCCCAAACTTTAAAAAAAAAAACAACACCTTTTAAACATAGTATAACCCTTTGTTTAAATGCAGATAAAGGAGGAAGTAGAACTGGGGAGCCCTGTGGGTTGAGAGTCCCTGCTCTCCAGTGTTCAGGAGGTGGATTGGATGTATAATAACCGAGTACTGTATATATAAATAAAAGGCAAAGAAGGAGAGCAAAGACAGTTGTAGGTGCAAACCCACGGTCCTAGGTTATGCAGAGTTACAGTTTGTGTCGATTATCAATTTATCATAGTAACTTGTAAAATTTCAAATACATTGTATAGTGTTTATTTGCATCATTAATTTGGAAGAGTAGCTACAGTTCAGTTGTTTCATATGCATTGAGAACAATCTGCATTGGACTTTTTTTTTTTTAATTTTTTTTTTGCAGCACATGGCTCTTCATTGCGGTGAGTGGGCTTCTCTCTAGCTGTGGCATGCGGGCTTCAGAGTGCGAGGGCTCAGTGGTTGTGGTGCTCAGGCTTAGTTGCCCTGCGGCATATGGGATCATAGTAGCCCACCAGGGATCAAACCAGCGTCCCCTGTATTGCAAGACAGATTCTCAACCACTGGATCACCAGGGAGGTCACCCTGCATTGGACTCTTGAAGATACTTTCCCTGATGTTCTATATGAAGTTCTGAAGCAGTTAGCACTTTTTTGCTTCAGTAAAATGAATTGAATAATACTCTTATATTTCCTTGAGAAAGTGCTCTGTCTTTTGGAGTTGTGGCTCTGAAATGATCCCATAGTGAGGAAATCAGGTACAATGCCTGTTGCATGTTTATAACTGATCTCAAAGAGCATAAGAAAACATTTGTAGCCACAGGAACAAAGAATTTTTGCTTAAGGTTTATTATTTAATAAATCTCTGTCTATTTTGTCTATTTTGTAAAATTTTGTCTGTCTACTTTGTCTATTTTGTAAATCACCCCTCATCTCTTTCTAAAGGTATTTTCTCTTGGAATTTGTAGAGTGTGCCTGTTTAAATCTCTTGGGGTTAAAAATTAAATATCTGTTAAGTTCAAAGGAGTAGATATAGAACAGAGAGATGTAAATTGTATTTTCTTAATTGCCTTCTTTATCTTTTCTTGGCTTGTTTTGTCATTTTTACTGGCCTTATGAAACTTTGATTTAATTAGGTCTCTATTTATATCATTACTGCCAATCTACTGTGTTAATAGCATTCTGATAGAGAAAAAAGAAATCCCTGCTTAACATATTAAAAATGGGGCAGCATATAATACCTTTTAAGATAGTTTGAGGGAGACAAGTCAAGTTTGGTTATTATTGTCTGTTCACTTTTTGTGTGTCAAAACAAAAGTTCGGGCCTATTTTATCTTCAGACTGAGAACTAAGAAAACAGTTTTCTAATTTGGTTATCTTATAGGTGTGTTTCCAATTGCAGTACATCACTGCCTCATTTAGAAAATGTTCTGATACTTATCTGTGATGGACCACAAGCAGAGACTTTTTAAGGCTTTACTTACTAACATATGAATCAAAGTGCTTTTTATGTGTTGCTTTTAAGAAAAAGTCATTTTATGATGCAATCACTTTCATCAATTATAGTGTGGTAATGACACAGACATCTTTATGAGTTATTAGCACGAGAGCAAACTTGATGCCTGTGGTGCTGATCATTGACATCTACAGTGTATTTGTATCCATAAAAAATGGAGTTTGCAGGGGACACGGGTTCGTGCCCTGGTCTGGGAAGATCCCACATGCCGCGGAGCAGCTAGGCCCGTGAGCCATGGCCCCTGAGCCTGTGCGTCCGGAGCCTGAGCTCCACAACGGGAGAGGCCACAACACTGAGAGGCCCGCGTACTGGAAAAAAAAAAAAAAAAAATGGAGTTTGTTTCCAGTTGATGATCTAGCAAGTAATATACTCAGTTGCTATGACAAGTAGGACCATGATATTATGTGGATACCATATAGATAAGAAATCAGTAGGATTGCTTTCTCTTCCTTTTTTTAGGGCAGAACTTTTCAGAAGAAGCACCGTCAAATGTGTAACTTTCATGATAAAGTAACTGGATTTTTCATGATAGCTTAATATATCAAGGTTTTATTTCCTAGATTGATGAAGGACTAAGTGAAAATCCATCAAATGTTATTTTATTTAAAACGTGTAACATTTTATAGAATCCAGCTTTTGATGTGTTATTTGTGAAATTGTGTGTTTTCTAAGATAAATTGAATTTCTCAGCAGTATCAGTTTTTACTTTCTCTTTACTGTTCCTTTTATGCTGTAAAGTCTGAAAAATATAAATAGGTGCTAGTTGTAATAATATCCTCCACAAAATCAAACTTTGTTTATATTTAGATTGAATATGAGACTCAAATTAAGAAGATACAGCTACTCTCAAAAGATAGCCTGGGAAAAAAAGGTGAACTGAAAGATGAAGACAGAGAAAAGGTAATAAATTAAAATGATAAACTTTCTGTTAACGGAGGGTTTTTGGTGTGTTCATCTTTTAGGATACTGTTGTAAATAAAATCGTCTTATTACAAAGATCTTTTTGATTAAACTTTAAGTGATTATTTAAAGACATTTGCTTATAGAGTATTGCTTTAATGTATAATTCAATTAAATTTGCTGAAAGGCAGTCACTGTGGCTGTAAGAGATAGATTCCAAAGAAAACCTCAGTGTTGTTAGTAGGTGAAATTTTGTTTTTCTAAATAATGCTTTGTAGCTGCCTTTTTCTTAGTTCCAGAAATGTTTTAAATGAGAAGTAAATGAAATGTGGCATTTTGCTTCTTTTCTTTGTATACGTAATTTTGTACATTTTAACCTTTTCATAGATAAAGTGGAAAGAAAGGATTGCATATCTCAGCAACAGACAGAATGAATGGCAAGGAATACTTAAATAAATTCTGCTATGTATCTGCCGTAATGCAGGCTTCTAATCCTCCCGTCTATCTCCATATAAATGATTCTGCTCAAGACCATAGATGTTTTCTTCACTAAAAGCAGTAAAGCTCTTTTAGATGAAATGTCTAAAAACATCTTGTAATAACTTGGAGCATGCTGGCAAGAGTAGTCACTTGTGACTATGTGTGAAACCCCCTCAGCCAGTCGATATTGTAATAAGCAAAAATGGGAGCATCACTCCATTATTCAGAGAAGCCAACAGCGTGCTTCCTCCTTAGGCTGCAGCATTCATTAAGAAAAGCTTACTGGGCTGAAAGCTGGAAACAGATGATAACGGGATATGATTTTCATATTTAATGCTTCCCTTGGAAGAGTATGTGTGCTACAGATTGATAGAAGAATCAACTGCTACTTTACTAAAAGACTTTCAGGTTTGCCCTATAGCTACCGATGGAATCATTCAGCCAAGAAATTAACTTTTTCTCCTTTTACCTGTTTTATATATCTGCTAAGCAGGCTGCCGGGCTGCCAGTAAATGTTATTATGCAGTTAACTGTTTGGTATTTAAGACTCTTATCAGAAAAGAAACAGAGGCCACACTATTTTGTTTTTATAGTAGGAGCAAGGTTTTAGTTTTTCTTTTTTCCGTGCATTAACAGGCATTAATCTGAGTTTATAGGAAGTTTTAGTTTTCCTTCCCAGAGATTAAAAAGTTAAAAAACCTAGAACTTTAGAGCATTCTTTAAACTGTAAGATACAAAACACCAAGCCCCAGCAACCCTGACCTATATAAAAAGGCCTTTAATGATAAATGATTTCTCTGCCATTAGATGTATACCAAATGTGGTATGATGTGATAGACTTCTGAGACATTCAGGCAGTTTTTCTGTTTGACATTTGGTCATGAAATAATTGACATGTTTTTTAATCTATAATCTAGTTTGTTCTTTCTGTGCTGTTCCTGATAGACACCTTGTTAGTATGACAGTGTCAATGGTACTTAAATAAAATGGGAGACTTTTTTTTATATTTGCACTACTGATTCCTTACCTTACATATAGTTATATAGTTTCCTTTTAAGTCATATTTAAAATTAGGGCAAGAGACATATAGCTGACAACTCCTTAAAATGTTACATAGAATAATTAGAAGTGTTTCCTTTTTACTGGAATGTGTCATCTCCTTAAAAACTTTGACTTTTGACTGTATGTAAGACTCAATTAGGTAACATTTTGAGACGTAGCTTGCCTTTTTCAATTTCCCATTGATGTTCTATCAATTAAAAGGTAAAAATATTTCAGCAGAACCCTGAATTAGTTAACACTTACTAGACACTAAACCAGAACAATTCCTTACCGTATGGGGTATGTTTTATCTTTCAGCAGTCACATGAGCTAGTCTCTGTGCCCAGAGCGCTGGTCTCCAGGGACTGGCCTGAGCACGGTGGTTGAATTCAGTAGATCGTTGCTGAGTGAGTGCTCTGTTTGAGAAGCTGCAGCAGGTCCCTCTAGGAATGCCACGATGCTTGCCCTTGAGGCGCTTCCCACAAGGCGATGTTCTTTCTGAGGCCTAGGATAGTGTGTGCTGAGTCCCAGCTACATGGAGAAAGAAAGTTTGCTTCCTCTGCAATGAGTCCTCCACGGCCTAGGGGAGAAGGTGGTGTGTGAGCTGGCGTGAAGGGTGGGGAGGGTGCCAGTCACTGGGTATTTGATAGACATTCTTGGGTCTGAAGATGTTGTGAGTGAAGGAGTGGAAGCAGGAAGCCCGGCAAGAAGCCATCAGTCTGGCTAAAGGTGAACATTCTTGCAGGGAAGTGGGAGAAAATGAGCTTGGAAAGGGGCATCGTGGAACTCAGTCCAAGGCTTGAGGATTGAAAATTTCCCCCTGGAATCAGTGTGTGTGCACGTGCATGATGGGACAGGTGAAGCAAGGACTGGGGCTCAGAGCAGTTACATCATAGGCGCAGGAAGGCAGGGCTGGCAGTGCTGTGCAGGATGCCCTGGAGGAAGGAGCTCATGGGGCGAGAAAACCAGGATTTATTCAGACGCAAGGAACGAACTGAGGGCCTGAGTTGGGGTGGCCATTGAGATGGAGAATGCCAATGAAGGGGAGAGGAGCTGTCAAATTAATGATAATTCTGAGTTACGAAAAGATAGCTTTAAGAAGTGGTTGTGCAACTTTCAACCAGAAGCAGCAGCTTGAATGCACCACTAAGAAGAATGATCAGGTAGTAGTTGTCTATTTTTTCAGTGTAGAACTTTAGCTCGGTTTTATAATAGGAGTCCAGTGTTTTCATGCATCCAGTTGCTGCTCTTCAGTCATGTGTTCTCTGAAGAGAAGTAATCATTGATCTGTTCATCCCCCAAGATTGTTTCTAATATTAGTCTACTTAGTAAACTCTTATGTTGTTGTTGTTAATAGAAAAGACAAAGTTCCGGTCCCCATTTGACTCCTCACAAATTTTACTATAATATAGTAATCCTTCTCTATTATACGTTGCCATTTTTTATTTTGGGGTGAACCCTCATTCCATTGGTCTCTAGGCATGTTCTTCTTGTTGCCCAGCTTTTTTGTATCAGCAGTGACTAGAGCATACACATAAAGACACATCAAAACATATACACCCAGGAGAGGTGGATATGGCATTAGTGAATGAGAGCATAAACCTTGAGGTGGGATTTGTGAAGTTTCTTTGAACTGTTACACTGTGAAATATGTTCTACTAAAAGCAGAAGTGAGCTGGATACTTCACAGAAAGATTATACTCTGCCAGGGCTGGAGAATGTGGAGGACCAGAGAATTCCATCACAGGACTAAAGGCTCGTTGGGGAGTTCCACTTCCTCTGTTGTAAACCTCCCTGCAAGGGTCACGTGGAGAATGACTCCACGTGCAGCTTGTTACTTCCGCTTCTAATCCTAATATTAACAATGGGGAATAGTGACTGCACGCGTATTTTGTCAGGGGCAGCATTAAGCACTTCATATTCATCAACTCATTTAATCCTGTCAGCAATCCTGGAAGTAGATACTGTCGTATCCTCATTTTAGAGGAAGGCTCAAAGAAGTTGGTTAACTTGCCCAAGACTACACTGCTAGGCAGATCCCAGACTCAAACCCAGACCATGTGGCTTTAGCGTCCATGTTATTAGCCATGTTGCTACACTGCCTTCCAAGATAGTATGGGTGAAATGCTCCTCGAAAGTCGGGAGAAATTCCTGGTCAAATAAAAACAGCCTAGCCATATCATGTGAAGTATTTCAGTTATTCATTTAGATGCTGCATTTTCACCTAACCTTGGGAGAGAGTGAAATGGTCTCCCTTGGTGGTATAATAGTCCAGCTGAATCAAGTGAGATCTGATTTTGCACTGGTTGAATTGAGTAAGAAATTAGGCATACACTTCAGATTCATTATTGGGGATTTTTTTTTTTTGAAAAAAAGCTGTGGTTTAGTAACACAATTTGAGTTTAACTCATTCAGTTTTGAGTATTGTGGCATAAGAGATGGGCACTGGAATCCGCGTATTTGGGTTTGGATCCTGTGACCGAGAGCAAATTGTCCAACCTTGTAAGTCTTGCTGGAGTGAGTATAATAACAGTGGTTGATTTGAGGGTTTAAAAAGGTAATGAATAGAAGTCTGCTTGACACCTGGTAAGTGCTTGGCACGTGTTCAGTGATCCTCTTGCCCCTGTCCCCACTGTCACTGTCGTCAGCCATCTTCCTTCTCCACTGGGGTGGCCGTATGAGGGTGTCCCTGGCTTTCTACCACTTACCTATGGGAGTGGGGACAGAGAGGCTACCTACCAATTAGGAAACGAGAAGTAAAGCCCTTGGTGGTAGCAACTCATAATAGATGATTTTAGCATGATTACAATACAGAATAACTTACAGGACATACCTTTGAAGCCTGAATTTAATGGACCCATTTAAAAATTTAGGTAGTTCTAACCTCTATTGGATTTAGTGGCCAGTAACATCTCCTCTTGGCCTCAGTTGTGAAAATTTGGTTGAGTCTCGAATCTACCCCATTGGCAAAATGAAGAGTTAAAAATCACATTGTCATGGTGTCTTAGTCGGCCTGGGCTGCCATAACAAAATAGCACATTCTGGGTAGCTTAAACAACAAATTTATCTTCTCACGCTCTGGGGGGCTGGATGTCTTAAGATCTAGGTGCCAGCTGGGGTGGTTTCTGGTGAGAGCTCTCTTTGGTTTGCAGACGACTGTCCTCTCTCTGGGTCCTCGTGTGTCCTTTTCTCTGTGCACGTGTGAGGAGAGAGGCAGATCTCGGGTCTTTTCCTCTTCTAAGAACATCAGTCTGTTGGATTAATAGACCTCACTGAACCTTAGTTACCTCCTTCCAAGCCCCATTTCCAAATATAGTCACGTTGGGGGAGGGCTTCAACATAAGAATTTGGGGGGGGGGCACAATTCAGTTTATAACACGCAATAAAGTAAAATAATTCCTTCAGGATTGTTATATGTAAATTTTTATTAAGGGATTTTTGGAAGTCTTCTCAATGTGACTTAAGGGCTTGTAGAAACT